TTTTAAACTCAACACAGAGAGCCCAAACAGGCACTATTTAAGATGTGATTTGGTTTTGTATCTGGTAGAGGGGAAGAAGGGAAATCTGGGCGGACCACCAACCAGTTCTATTGCTCATGCAGGTTTTATTGAGCCGTAGAACTGGTTGGTGACCTACTTACCAGCCCTATTCATAGCTTACTTAACTGGACCAATCGTTAATAGTCTCAAAGGTATTTTTAAATTAGACTATATCTACTTTTGGCTCTCGGACGATGGCGCATTTTATCGAAAGTGGGACGATGTGAATCAAGCGGTGTTGTATTGTACTCACGATACCATGAGCAAATCGTGCGTAGTTGGAAGAACTCTAACGGAGTGAGTACTACAAACACAACTACCGCGTAGTTTTGAGAATTCATGTAATCAGCCTACGTGGTTTGGCCAAGAAAATCTAGAATTTTCTCATCTGAGCATCTTCTAGTTTTTCCCTACCTCATAGATTGAGACTCACGTTTCGTGCTTAACTCCTATGAAGGTGGGCCTGAAAGTGTATTTGATTATTCATAACGTGCGAGCGAATCCAACAACATAAAGCGTGTGAACTCTAATATCGGCGTGTACAGCAACTTGTTTGTGTTGTGTTTGTGTTTTTTGTTGTTTGTGTTTGTTGTTTGCGTTTGTTTTTGTTGTCCTCTGCCATCTGGTGCTAGAGCCTTGTCGTGGCTTGGCAGCTTGTGTATCCTAGGTGGGATCAGACCAAAGCTAGCACCCTGCTCCAGAGGCGTAGCGACCCTTCCCTGCGCCCGGGGACATATTTTCCATCTGGCGCCCCCTTGGGAGCAAATTTTCGATTTGCACCCCCCCCTCGAACTTTTTATTTGCACCCCCCTCAAACTTTCGATTTGCACCCCCCTCCCCCCTCGAACTTTTCATTTGCACCCCCCCCCCTCAAACTTTCAATTTGGCGCCCCCCCTAAGGTCGGCGCCCGGGGACATAAGTCCCCCCCCCGCTCCCCCCCCCTCGCTACGCTACTGCCCTGCTCTGGCCTGTTTCAGGAACAGCCCAGACTTTATTTTCTGATACCAGTCAAAAGACAAAAAAATGGGCTAACTTACATCAATGCGAAATGTTATCTCAGAATCGCCCGTGTAATGAACAATGCTGTAAATTAAGTCTTCAGAACTGGAGAGGATACAGTTTTTAAAATGGAACTTCATCTTGGTTGTGTCTTCTCTGTGTGCTGTTGTAATTAAAAAAAGTTGGCCGTCTTATGGGCTATCTAATTATTACCTTTCATTAAATATATAGGTTTAATAGGTTACTGTTTGTCATTATCTAATCTGGCTATCATATATATGTGTTATCAATGAAGATCTACTATTCAAACTAGGCTACTAAAATACAGAGGCATAGCGACCCTACCCGGCGCCCGGGGACAAACTTTCGATTTGCACCCCCCTCAACCTTTTAATTTATTTTTCCAAACCATTTTGGCACCCCCTAAGGTCGGCGCCCGGGGACATATTATGTCCCCGGCGCCCCCCCCCCCCTCCCCCTACCCCTCGCTACGCTACTGCTAAAATATACATAGAGTCTACATACATAGAATAAATATTAGGATAATTATTATATTGAATTTGATTAGTAAGTTAAACTCATCTATGACACTTGACACTTTTTGGTTTGCACTGTTATTTTTTAAAACAAGTTAAAAAAAAAACCAATACATAAAGAGTAGGGCTAGATCTAAGCAGTGGCGGAACTAGAAAAAAATGGCCCCCCCGCAAAAAATTTTTTTTAGGCCCCTATATATATATATATCTATATGTATATATATGTATGTATATATATATATATATATATATATATATATATATATATATATATATATATATATATATATATATATATATATATATATATATATATATATATATATATATATCGGGTGCAGTGGCGTAGCGAGGTCGGGTGTCACCCGGTGCGGCACTTAATGGTGTCACCCCCCCCCCCCCCCCAGAGCCATAGAGACCCTTCCCAGGGACAAACTTTCAAATTTTCGATTTGCACCCCCCTCCTCAAGTTTTCGATTTGCACCCCCCCCCCCTCAAGTTTTCGATTTGCACCCCCCTCAAACTTTCGATTTGCACCCCCCCCTCGAGTTTTTCTCTATATATTTTGCTATTTTTTGCCTTGGTGTCACCCCCCTAAATGGTGTCACCCGGTGCGGTCCGAACCCCCCGCCCCTCCCCCTCCGAAAATTTCAAGTGCCCCCCCCCCCCCCCCCCCCGAAGAAAAAAGTCTGGAAGAAACACTGCCAAAGACCCACCCATATTATAACCGAATATAACCCCTCCCCGTTACGGGCTAAACATGACATTAAACATTAATACATTCAAAGGTGATATAGATCTTTTGGTTGTTTTTAGGCTTAAAAGCTAGATCATTGTATCCTAAATTTGATTAACTTTAATGTATTTAGTGTTAATAACTAATGTTCAATTAATACGTGTACTAATTATAAAACAATCAATAATATAAAGACGAGCCTTACCTTCCTTGTTGTGTGAATTAGACTCGTCAACAAAATACTTCATCAGGTAAATGAACAACTACTGACTAGTGTCTTTAACAAAATGTGCAGAAGTGGTCAGTTTACAGTTCAGTAGTTCATAGATGGTTCGTTAATCTATGCATTACATCTTATTGTAAGAGTAAGGGTGTGGTGAGGGGTAGAGGTGAGGGGTAGGGGTGAGAGGGGGGTGAGGGGGGAGGGGTGAGAGTTGGGAAGGTTCAAGGGAAGGGGACTAGAAAGTGCCGATACATCTACATCAATAGTGCCGACTTTTTCCGGTCGTCTAGAAGACCAGAATAGTCGCCGCAACATTTCCCCAGCCCGATTTCAAAGCGTGCCGGCAAAAACTTCAGATGCTTCGCTAAAGGGAGATAACTTAAACGTTCACAAGTTTATTGATACAGTTGTTAAAGTAAAGATGAACGCAATTATAAATGTATGACATCGAAATAAATAATTATATTTTTTGTAGAGTCCAGGCCAGTAGTTTAAACACACAATCATATATATATATATATATATATATATATATATATATATATATATATATATATATATATATATATATATATATATATATATATATATATATATAGGCTACGTCTTTGAAGTTGTCTATATGTCTGGCGGTCTCTCGAGCTATATTCTGTACATTTTTTTCAAAGACGTTTGCCGACTATAGTGTTTTTTTGTAACTGTAGAAGAAAGATAACTCGACCTCCATCTAATTTAAAAAAAAAAAAAAAAAAATTTTTTTTTGTTTTAATTTTTTTTTACATTTTTTTTAAAAAATAATTTAGCCAGGATTTTTGGGCCCCCAATCGGTCTGCCCCCCTCCCCCGCATTGCGGTGTCTGGCGGCACTGTAGTTCCGCCCCGGCGTCTTTGAAGTTGTCTATATGTCTGGCGGTCTCTCGAGCTATAGTCTGTACATTTTTTTCAAAGACGTTTGCCGACTATCGTGTTTTTTTTGCAAATGTAGAAGAAAGATAACTCGACCTCCACCTTTTTTTTTTTTTTTTTTTTTTAAATTTATTTTATTTTATTTTTTTAAATAATTTAGCCGGGATTTTTGGGCCCCCATTCGGTCCGGGCCCCCCCCGCATTGCGGGGTCTGGCGGCACTGTAGTTCCGCCCCTGGATCTAAGTCATATTAATTATGTTCAGTAATTTTTACTATAGGACTAAAATTACTGTTAGACTCTACCTAGATTAAACTTAAATTTTGTAACCTATTATTACGTGTAATTTTTAGTTTAAAATTGTAGCCTTATTAAATAAACCCTAATATAGAACTAGATAATTTACTAATTAGTATAGAAATAATTTCTAATACTATTTACTCATTCAAAACAATAAAGTATGTTTGGAATCACGATATCAATAAATGAAATAGATTTTAGCCGTCTTTTGATAAGAAATGTCTAATATTTTATTACCTATACATCGTGGCGTGGCAGAGTGAACGGAACAGTGCGTAGCGAGCGACGATGTTTGAAAATCTTGAATAAATATTTAAAAAAAATATTATTTCGATCAAAAAATATTTTTTTAAATAAAAATAAAGCACAACTGTCAATTCGGATTCGAACTCGGAGCATCTAGGTCACCTAAATCGACAGCTTACATTGTCTTGCCTGCGGGAGAAAATCGTGAGTTCAGCAGGCCTTTTACACATCATGACCCCCTCATAAACCAAGCAAAATGTAAAACAGACACTTAAGGTCATTTTAAGATTTACTACGCATAGCTGTTAAAAAAAAAAAAAAAACTAGATCTAATGAAGAGAAAAAATTAAGTAGATCTAGATCTAGAATTTTTTAAAAAGATCTATTTTTAGTTTTGTGCGTAGAATTTATAATAAATATGTCTGTTATTTAAATTTTTATTACTAGTAACATTTTTTTTGGTAAATAAAATGCCAATGTTGTCGTACCTGTATAAAAAAAAAATAATTCTAGTATTTAAAGTATAATTTAAGATCTTACATTATTCTTATTTATTACATATTTAAAAAAAAATGTTTTTAACGCGTTTCATAAATTTTGTTAATTAATAAGTTTAATTTTAAAACGGATACTAACGAATTTTTAAAGCCTGTTTATTTTGATCACTTTGGATAAATTGTAGTTTTACTCCCTGGCCACATCCGTTCAAGGATGAGGTTGGGGCGGTTTTATTAGATATTTAAATTGATAATTGATACAATAAATCAAAATTATTTTTAACTGCTTATCATGTTCAATACAAAAATATGAAAATTAGTGTAATCGATGGTTCCCAAACAGCTTTAATTTTTTTAAATGTAGCTATAATTTTATCGCTTGCAATATTTTAAAAAAAAATTTAATTTAATATGGGCGGACTTATTTTAATTTTTCCATAATTCATATTTTTATAGTGATAGAGGAAGTGAGGCAGTTGTCATTGTAACATCTGTGGATCGTGTTGTCATCATTGGTTTTTGTTGTAGCTATTTTTTTAAAAGCTTAATCCAAACCAACTCTGTACCATCTAGTGTCAGCTGCATAAATTGTTTAGGCATCCAGACCACCTACTCTACCATCTAGTCGTCCGACCATCGTCGCGTGACAGCTGCTTTATACTTTTTAATTTTACCGATCCAGCAAAAAGGTATATAAACTAACTTTTAACAGGTGTTTTTTTTAAATTACGTGGGCGTGGCAGGGAGTAGATTTTTAAAAATATTTTTCACAAAACCCCCAATAAAACTTATATCTATAAATATTAAATAAACGTTCTTTGCAGACTCCCTCCATCCAGGCTTTATCAGTGTTGTGAGGTACAAACTTGACGGACACCAGTCTTAGAGTGACCATCCACCCGACACTCTTGCTGATCTATTTGTTTCTGCTGATCCAGCAAAAAAGGTATACAGGATTTTACAGGTTTTTATTTTTAGAGTTAGGCTTTTTTTTTTAAACATTTTTTTTCACAGAATAGACAGAAATTGTAAGTTTTTCTGCTTGTTTAAATCCCCAGTTATGATGAATTCGTCACGACGTGCTATTCGTTCTCACTTGAAGTTTATTATAAGAGCGAATAACAAAATAATAGCGAACAATCAGAAAATAATAAACCAGCTCAGGGCACAGTTGCAGTGGTATCATCAGCAAACCCATCACCTATTGTTGTGTATTTATTTGTTGTTGTTTTTGTTGTTGGGTGTATGGGGCTCCTCCTTTTTTAACAATTAATTAAATTTAATCTTAATATGTGTAACTGGTTTAACCTCCAACTGAAAAGTAAGAACATATTTTTTTGAGTGGCATGACAACGGCATTTCTAAGGACGTCATCTAATTACCGAGCACTTCTAGTTTTTTTTAATCTATGCAGCAACTTAAATAAATGTGTTTTTTAACCACCAACAATGCAACTTAGAGGGGTAACTTTGTTTAGCCGTCCGTTCATTCAATAATAAGTAAAGATTGTGTGGGTCTAACTAACGTTGTTGTTGTACCATGGTGTCTGCGATGTGTCCCAGACGTGTTTGTTTCCGCTGCCGTGTGTTACTGAAGTGGCGTTGCATTCGTTTGATGTGAAACTATCGTTTTTCGTCTCGAGCTGCCATTAAAAAATAGAATATACAAAATGCTTGTTTTCCGTTTCTTACTTGTTGTGTCCCTTAGTATGGACAATGTGTGTTGTGCGTGTGTACAAGTTGATGAGCTCATTATGACATGTGATGCTATAGTGTACTGGCGGCAGAGGCGTAGCGAGGGGGGGGGGGGCGGTGGGGGACATATGTCCGCGGCCGCCGACCTTAGGGGGTGGGGCGCCAAAATGGGTTGGAAAAACAAATTGAAAGTTTGAGGTGGGGTGCAAATGAAAAGTTCGAGGCGGGGGGGGGGGGGGGAAATGCAAATCGAAAGTTTGAGGGGGTGCAAATCAAAAGTTTGAGGGGGGGGGGTGCAAATTGAATGTTTTTCCCCGGGCGCCGAGAAGGGTCGCTACGCCACTGACTGGCGGTTTGATGTTTAAAGGTGTGTTATGGCGCGAGTGAGCGGTTAGAAGGATGACGCGGATTGGAAGATAGTGACGTTTTGGGGTAGAAACTTAGTTGCTGCGCATTTGTGTGTGAGGGAGTCTAATCTTGATCGTCGGGGTGAAAGGACGTATTCTGACCGGTGTGACTCAGTCGGGAGATTAATTCGTAAGATGTATATACATAGATGAGGATTAGGTCCAGTACGGGAATAATTATGAGAAGAAGAAACCTAATTTCACCTTGTTGATTGGTACCTGTGTTGTCTGCATGAATAATTGTATGTTACCATGATAATCATATGGTAGTGGTATTGAATCAAGTGGCTCAATTCCACTCATTCCACTGCTCTGATACATACGTAGTAGCGGTCACAACAAAAGGAATCGTCCGACTTCCACAACTCTTGTGTGGCGGGAGGGGGGGGGGGGCGGGCGGATCGATGGGTTGGTTCTGTGGGCATGTTCGGTATAATAGCTGGGCGTTTGAGGAGTCATGACGCTCGGGGGTGACTTTTTGAGTCACGTTGGTGACTTTTGCTTTGCGTCACTTTGACTGAGACGCATGGAGAATAACTTTTGCTTTGAACCTTTGGAATGAAGTCACCGTTGAGTCAGTCATCTTTTGCATGACTTCTGCTTTCAGTCTTTTGGTGACTGTGATTCATTCGAGTCACCTTTAAAATGGATGCCTTTTGTTTGTTTGACACATTGACGATACCGCAGGGGATCGGCGTGGTCGAGTCGGTAAAGCTCATGGTTGCTAAACCGAAAAGTCTAGAGTTCGATCCCTTCAAGCACTAAAAATTAAGAACAAAGATGTGGAGATGTGGATGTGTCAGTAGAGAACCACAGTGTGGCAGTCACCAATTGAGCCTCATTGACACAAATAGGCCTACTACTCTCGTATAATCTCCCATTCACGATCTGGCGAAACGTATATAACAAGATGGCAGCTGTTGCTAAAAAATAAATTCAATACTCTCCAATCATCTTCCATCTCGCGGATCTTTCTAGAAATACTCTCGTACCCATCGATTTCTGATGATCGAGAATTTTTAGTCTTGTAACGACGGGTGTTTCAAAAGCTAAATTTGTGTACTGGATTTACTTCAGCTGGTGGTAGGCGGCTTCTCTTTGGTCGGTTCCCTTTGATGTTTTATTAGCTGGCGTAAGCGTGGTGTTAATCAGTTTTCGTGATGTCTAATTAATTTACAGGGAAGTGTGTCGCACATGTGCGGTCTGGTGCTGTTCCTGTGTGTACATTATAATAACACGTGTTACAATAGTTATAACAGTTTTTGTGTTCATCCTGGGGGGGTCATCCATAAATGACGTCACGCTTTTTTTTACCTCCCCCCCCCCTCCCCTCCGCCACACGTCGTCACAAAAAGCCAGAACCCCCCCCCCCCCCCCCTAAAATGACGTCACACCTCAACCTACAACCCCCCTCAAAAATGCAGTTGAATTTTTTTAAAACATCGATATTTTTCCAAAATCTTGTCTAAACTATTATAATTTATTAAAACAGTTATCTAAAACGCGAAATAACGTCTAAAACTCGTTTTCTAACATTGCTTTTTTACAACGCAAAAATGTGACGTCGCAACATCTGAACCCCCCCCCCTCCCCCTTATCACACATCGTCACAAAATTACGGACCCCCCCCCCTCCTCCCTACGAGTGTGATGTCATTTATGGATGAACCCCTGATACAATAGGTGATAAAGACGTGGTGGTGTACGACTTTGTGTTTGGTACACATTTTGACAATGTGTACACGTATTAACATTGTCTACACAAGGTCTCACGTCTTGAAGTACGTACACAAATCGCGACACGCACTGTGACATCAAACAACAAAAGTACACAGTGTGTACACTATTTAAGAAATTGTGACATTTGTTACAAGCAGGCACGTTGTGTACCCAAGTGTAGACAGTGCGTACACGAGGTTTGTTTATACAATAATTCCCGGCTATAAACTTGAGTTGGTCCTAAACCAACTTTTTTTCCCTTCTTCATCTGGGGAATCTTCTCTGTGCAATGCTTTGTTCTGTTAAATGCCTTTTTCTTTTTTTTAAAGCCCCTTTTCCCAGCCTTATAATAAACGCTCAACCAACTGATATAAAGTGAGGATCTGGACAGCGTCGATGCTTGGATGAATACGTACAACTACAGCGACGATCCAATCAGTGGCGTAGCCTAGCCAGGATCGTCTTATGGGTGGGGGGGGGGTTGTTGTAACCCCCTGCCTACGCCACTGGATCCAATAGAATAATGAGACAGGACGGCGTTGATATATTTCCATCTTGTATTACATACAATACACACGACTACATCGACGACTGACGCTGCGAAGAGTTCCAGACTCAGACTGACTTCAACCATTTGCCCTAACAACCAAAACATACTCACATCCCACAATGTGCCTAAACAATACCTTGCTTTGTTGAATTTTGCCTTTTCTCTTTTGAAGCCCCCTTTTCACCTTTCTCTATCCCTCATTGCCTTGTGGTGTTATAGCCCATGTGCAGAGGCGCAGCGACCCTTCGCGGCGCCCGGGGACAAACTTTCAATATGGCGCCCTCCCGGGAACAAACTCAATTTGGCGCCCCCCCCCCCCCCCGGTACAAACTTTCAATTTGGTGCCCCCCCCCCCACCACCACGGGAACAAACTTTCAAATTGCCCCCCCCCCTCCATATATCTTTTATATTTATAATGCAAAACTGCAGCTAAAATGAGCTTTTAATTTTTTTCCAACCCATTTTGGCGCCCCCTAAGATCGGCGCCCGGGGACATATGTACCTCCCCCCCCCCCTCGCTACGCCTCTGCCCCTGTGTGATATCTGTTTTATGTGATCTTGGATGTTGACCCCCGTATGTCGTCCATCTGTGTAACGTCGTAACAATCTGAATGGTCCCGCGAATTGAAAAGCAAAATAATCTACCTAAACCCCTAAAGCCGTTGTCATTTGATTTAAAAATATAAGTTCTCACTTAGTTCCCTGTCGTTTTCTTACAATCCTTCAAGGGCAGCTCTATACAAATTCAACTGTCTTGATTGTTTTAAATAGTTTTAAATGGTAACTTGATGTGAAAGAAAATTTACCAGTCTCCTAGCTAAAGGATACGTTCTGACTTTGTGGGTGAGCAATGCGGGGTACCCATCATCATCATCATCATGGGTTCTCCCCTAAATTCAATTTTTATTTTCACGTTCTTCCACTTAAAAAAAAATAATTGGAATTTTAGACGCCCCCTCCCCCGGTCCACTTTCGACAACCCTGCCCCCCCCCCCCCCCCCCCCCCACAATTGTGGACGTCTACAAAAATTAAGTAAACATGCTGCCAAAATTGCTAATTTGCTAACAATTAGTATGCCTAAATATAATTGGGAGTTTTTAAAACTTTTTCCAAGATGTCCACAAGTTTAGGGCGTGTTAACTTACCGTGTGAATGTGCTAAGACTATATCTGCCTCTCGATTTTAAAGGCTTTTTTAAACCTATTTTTCATACACTTTTTAAGTTGAAGATGCTGTAGACCGAAGTTTTTACTGTCATTTATGGATCAATTGGGCTAATCATTGTGATGTCACATATACGCTGCATATGTTTCCATAACAAACCGCCTCTCCCCCTTTTTTGTTGTCGCGCTGACCGTTAGTCATAAACAGTGTTTCTTCGAGACTTTTTTCTCCGGGTGGGGGGGGGGGGGGGGGGGGGGGCACTTGAAATTTTCGGGGGGGGGGGGGACGACTAAAATTTTCGGGGGGGGGGGCGGACGGCGGACACTGAAGAATATATTTTCTATATAAATTCGATTTCGTTTAGTGGAGGGGGGGGGGGGCGGTAGACTTTCTTCGGGGGGGGGGGGGGGGGCGTGCTCTGGAAGAAACTCTGGCCCTACAACCTGACCAAGCGAGAGTACATGTACAACTTTATATCTAATTGTAACGTGGTAATTTTGAGGTTTTTTTACTTGAAAAAACAAGTTAATAAAAAGTCTAGTGACAATTTAAGCGCAATTTCCTTAATTAATTTTTTAAATTATGAATAAATTAATAGGGTACAAAAAATAACGTTTGAATTAATAAGTAAAAAAAAAAGACAACTATATTAACCTATATCAACGGAAATAGTTTTATTTTAACGAGTAGGCCTACAAGATGCTCAGTTTAAAAAATTAGTAAATATCATCCTAGGCCTACACGATGCTCATTTTAAATGTTCTTAATTAATTTTTTGTGACCGAACGAAAGGATATTTTTGAAAACTTTCTTCGGCAATATTGGTCTAAATTATGGCAGGAATCGATTGGTAAATGTTTCAAGTCGCTAAGTGGTCTGGTTGCCGAGATATGGAGCAAAAACTGCACTTGTTCGAGGTTTTTTGGCTTTTCCGGGAAATCCAGGAAGGAATTCCGGGAATTTTTTGGCCTATGTTCATCCTCGGAACTTGCTTAACATATTTGCTTTGGAACTAGTCCTCGATATTGCTTCGTTGAGGAGGAGATACGACTTAAAGGCTGCGGACACACATCCATCCAGAAATGACGAGTTAATAATCGCAATCCCAGTATGGAAATTGCGCTAAAAAATGACGAGATCTATCATCTTACTTAGGCTTTGACAAAAAATAATGATGTAGGCCTACTATGATTTAGTTACAATTGTTTGAAATCTTTAAAAATAAACATAAATGGGCCTACATTTTAATTAGACATTCATTATCACACGGCTAAGATCAGGGATGTGAGGAGAAATTCGTAATGGAGAGGGGGGAGGAGGGGGTTTTAAAATAGTCTACATACTTAGCAATTAACCGAATTAAGTTTTAAGGAGCGATCTTTTTTTTTTTTAAATAAAATGGTGTGATTTTCATAATAATTATTTTTTTAAAACAGCAAATCAAGCTGTAATTCGTGCGTAAGGGGGGGGGGGGATGAGCAGTGTTGTGTATGTAATATAAAAAAATGAGTGCAAGGGAGTAGGGGGTCGTCCATAAATGAGGGGCGGGGGAGGGAGGTCCATAATTTTGTGACGGTGTGTGATGAGGGGAAGGGGGGGTTCAGATGCTGTGACGTCACTTTTTTTTTGCATTATAAAAAAAGCAATGTTAGAAAAAGAGTTTTAGTCGTTATTTCGTGTTTTAGAAAAAGGTTTTAATAAATGGTTATGTGAATTGTTCAAAATACTCTATGTTGACAGAGTTCTGACAAGATTTTGGAAAAATATCGATGTTTTAAGAAAAATTCAATAGCAATTTTGAGGGGGGGGGGGGGGGTTGTAGGCTGAGGTGTGACGTCATTTTAGGGGGGGGGGGTCCTGGCTTTTTGTGACGACGTGTGACGGAGGGGAGGCGGGGGGGGGGGGGGGGTAAAAATCGTCAAAAAAGCGTGACGTCATGTATGGATCATAATGGATGACCCCTAGGGATAGGGTTGGTGAGGGGTCAAAGTATCATCTTGCTTGCAAGATCCTTAAAATGTCTTGGCTACTCTTGACTAGATTCATATTTATGTTTAAAACCAAACAAAATAAATCAATACAAATAATTTCCTTATTTAATTATTGTATTATGTAAACTTATTTAAGTGTTAATTTTAAATTAATATGTTTCGCAATTTTTTTCAGAATAGTAAATGACTGTGTTGTTTTGTTTTTAAAAAGAACTCAAATTTAAAGGGACATCGAATTTGAAATAAACACGATTATGTCCCCTACCAATTCATACTTCATTGGACGGCTCAGCGGTTCTGTAAAATTTATTCTCGGAGTAGCGAAAGAAACGAAAGACAACGCAAGAGGCTTGCTGCCTTTGTTCGACATCAGGCTAGGGTCACTGTCTTCTGTCACAACTGTCTTTCCATCACTCTTTTTAATCATTTGCATTGGTAAGTTACATTTTATTTCAAAATTTTAAAAAATACTTTTTTTCCCCTCCCCCCTCTAAATCCAACAGTATTGTATTTTTAAAATTATTTCTTACTGCTTAGCTTTGGCTTTGTTGTTGTTTTTATTTTATTTTTTTACTTTGCCAGGCCTTTTTAAAAATATTGGGGGAAATTTTTTTTGTTAGGCGTATTTTTAAATAATCGGCCTCTACATCTCTAGCTAGACTCTAGGTCTAGTAAGTGAGCTTATAGAATGGGTTAGATATGCCGGCCTACTCTACTTCTAGATATTAGAAAGAAGTTTCAAAGAAGCCAAGGGGACTAGGCCTAATAATAATATTATTATTATAGGCCTAATATAATTTAAATTAAATATTCTGTCAATGTGCCCAGGCCTTAATAAGCCTTAATTAATTAATCAAACTTTATTTTAATATTTTTTGGCTGGTTTGTTACAGTTATCTAGATTCTAGATCTAGATCTATATTCTAATCTAGATTAAATCTAGATGGTACTTAACTTTATTCTTACAGACAAGCTAGAACCTACAATTTTTGTTTTTAAAATTAAAAAAAAGTCCTGTCAATAGTCAAATTTAACTTTATTAGAGCCTATTTTCAATTCAGTGGCCCTTATCTCTTTACTTTAGTTTCTTTAGTAGTCTATAAAATTCTACAAAACATAATTTAACTAAATAGTAAAGTAAAAGATAATTAGACTGGCTTATGCCGCTAATTGTTAAATATGGTAATAAAACGCATTGATCCACCATTGAACCATATCACTAATATTGGTTTTAAAAAATAACTGAATCAGCAATTTAAATTTATTGTTATTCATTAGCCTATTAGCTTAGAAATAGCTTTCCCCATTAATTAGAGAGTCCTACCAAGTTTAGTCCTATCAAGTGGTTCATGTGCTGACATGTACGTTGATATACTCACATAAAACCCTAGTTTGATCATTATGTGGTACCAGATGGCTGTTTTAAAAATATCTTAAGATAAGACTACATATTTCTTTTAGTTTAATCAAAACCTACCTTAAAGTTAACAAATATTAAATGTTGGATTAGGATTAAGCTTTACTTGACCATGATACATAACAGCTAAAAAATACAGGCTTTACAAAATTTTATTTGTTGCATATAAAAAAAATATGCAAGTAGAAATACACAACTCCTTAGTATTATGTATGGATTATAGATGATGTTAAGCATGTGAAGTAATTATTTAACAAATACCAAATTACTGGACTCTATTCTTTTGACTAGTCTGTGACAAATATCAGCCCTGTGTTAATGTTCTAAGATATTGAAGTGTCTCACCATAAAAGCTTTATTAACATGACAGGGATTAGGTATAAAAAGGCATTAAAAAACGTATACAGCTGAAGTTTCAATTTGTATGGACAATAGGCTTATGCATTACCATTTTATGTTGTGTAGGCCTTGCTGATTAACAGTGTTGTGGTTAGGTTTAGTAACTAAATCAATAGTGATACCAAGAAATATAATATAGTGTTGCATGGCAAATACAGCCTTTGTTTCTATTTTTTTAACAAGTGTGATATTTTATTAAGCATCCTTTTTTTTTCAACTTGTCATTTGCCATGCTAAAGCTTGTACTTACTGGTGTACTTCACACAACTACATTATCAACACGCAGTGTCTCTATTTATTTTTCCTCAATTCAAAATTATTCTAAATCAGTCTGCAAATTGAAATTGGATAAGATTTTATTGCAAGTGTCTCTTTTAATGTTTGAATGAAAACCAAAATTCTATTTTTCATCTTTTCTTTTTATCTAAAAAACAGCTTTCTTTGTTTTACTTTGTTATATTTGTGACATATGGTTTACAAACATAAGATGGAATATGATTGAACATATGTGTGTGCTTGTGTACACAACTTGTAAAATAGGTCGTATGTCTACTATTTCTTGTAAAGATAACTAGTTGAGTAGCCTAGTCATTCTTATATCACTTTGCACCCTTCTAGTGCACTTTAAGTAAAATACACACCACTGTATTCTGTTCCTTATCTTTGTATACAACAAATTTATTTCAAATGGACAGTTAATTAAGAAATTAATGAAATAAGTTGTTTTTAGTTATAATTAGAATTTTTCTTTAGATAGGAAGACCTAGTAATTTTAGACGGCTTTTAAGAAAAAATGATCAGTACTATTACTTATCATTAAACTGATAATTTTTATTAGAATAACACGTTAAGTCCTTGTGTGTTTAATCAGCTGTCGGCTTCTTAACCAATCAGAGACAGTTCAAACATAACTCATCTGTTGTTTTTCCTCCTGCTTGTATCATATGTGTGTATCCTCTCTTTGATCTTTGTTTATGATAAACAATTTTTTTCGCATGTAGTTAATCTGTTGAACTGATGGAGCATTCATGTCTGTGACAGTTAAACCTAATTCTGACAGGCTTTCTTTATGATTCTTTTTTTTTTTTTTACAATTATTTCATTTAATTTTAATTCATAATTTTCTTTTACTTAACTCTTAAACATTAAATGTTGTGGGTGGATACGACAGTATGAAAATATAGTATTTTTTTTCTTGTCTTTATGGTACTTTCCTTAGATATTTTCTTTTTTGGTTTAATTAATTAGTTAATGATTATGAAATTGCTGGTGGAAGTGAAGTTGAATACGTTAGCAGTTGTAACAGACACCCTACACCTTTGTGTTTCAGTCATTTTATTTCTGCTGAATTTTGTTTGTTTCTTTTTAATCTCCATACATAATAGACTTTTTAACAGTGTAGCCAGTGAGGTTTGTGAGTGATGTAGATAGGGCTATTAGATAATGTTTACAGTCAGATTCCATGTGATTTGAGTAGCTCCCCACCTCCATGGGTCCCCCCCCCCCCCCCTCTGTCTCTGCTAGCCAGGCTGTGTCTGCTTGTTGTTTGCCCAGCATCCTGTTATCGTTAGTCTGACAAGTGGCCTGGAATGGAGGCTGTGAATTTATTGGCTGCTCAACCTGATGGATGATAATTTGACAAATTCATTTCTCAGCGTGGGGTGGGGGGGAGGGGGGGGGGTGGGGTAGTTTAGCCAGATTACAAATTCACCACCTAATTTGTTTTTGTCACTGGCTTAGCAATCCATGTACAGCAATTAGTATGTAATATTGGTGGGGGGGGGGGGGGGGGAGAAAAGGGGGGGGGGTGTTGGAGTGGCATGTAGGATATGTTACAGGTTGACCAGGTTGTGACAAGATGGTGACAGGTGTGTCTGGTCTCGTGTCTGTTGGGGGGGGGGGGGGGGGGGAGGGGCGGTCTCGTATAGTATTGGGGGAAAAAAAGGTTGCGGATTGTGTTTGTGTCATTTATTTTATTATAGTGGGAGATGGTGTCATGCTATGATAACGGGGTGGGGGGGTGAAGTTATAATCTCTATGAACTTGGGAGTGTAGGTGACATTTTTACCTGTTAAAATAAACGTGTATCATATCTGTTAAAACAACGAGAGGTGGTCTCATATCCTGGAGGGTTATGAGGATGAGTTCGTAATAACGTTAACCTGAAATCATCATCTAAACCTAACTGACTGACCTGTGCCCTAACTTACCTGTACACCATGTGACCACTGTACGACCTGTGACAAACAGCGCCGTTGACACGACACACCTGCTGTCCTGTTTGCTCCCAGCTGACGAGTGGGGCTAATCAACACTGATTGATTTACAACCGTTTTAGTCAAACTATGAACGATCGTTTACAACCGTTTTAGTCAAACTATGAACGATCGTTTTCAACCGTTTTAGTCCAATCGGGTACGATCGTTTACAACGGTTTTAGTCAAATTAGGAACGATCGTTTACAACCGTTTTAGTCTAATCAGGAACGATAGTTTACAACGGTTTTAGTCAAACTAGGAACGATCGGTTACAACCGTTTTAGTCCAATCAGGAACGATCGTTGACTTCACTTTACAGGCATATTACGATCAGAATTTCTAACCTGAAGCAACGCTTCCGTACCGTTTGATTTTATAATTGTTTTATGCCCGGAAATGAAACGTGTTCTGATGATACTTTTTAAAGATTTGGCCAAGTGTGTTCTGATAGCTGTCATCTTAAGTAAAGTATTTTTAGATCGTGAGTGAGCTACTCTCATGACATGGAGTAGACATGCATTTGTGTCGGGAGAAGGGGTTGGGAAGGGAGCGTTGGTCAGTAGCTTTCAAGGAATAATGGGGGGGGGGGGAGAGTAATGATTATGACTAAAGAGTAAGTGTAACTTAAGCTGTGTTTGAGGGGGGGGGGTTATCACGCATGATAATGTCTAGTTGCTTTGTGTGTGTGTGTGTGTGTGGTTCACATTGTATTGTTGGTGTTAATTTCTGCTGCGGGGATGGGGTGGTTGCGGTAAATTATGTATTGTTGTAGTTGTTGTACCGAAGGGGGGGGGGCGTGATCCTAGTGTGTGGGTGTGAAGAGGTCTTTTAACTCTGTTTTATGGAGGTAATGTCACGTGCAGTTCACAAAGCTTTTAAACCAAGGCATTTTATGGCTGAGTTGGCTGGCTCGGCTCTATCGATTAGCAGCCACCGTGCCCATCGACCGGTACAGTCTATAAACCACCGTGCCCATCGACCGGTACAGTCTATAAACCATCGTGCCCATCGACCGGTACAGTCTATAAACCACCGTGTCCATCGACCGGTACAGTCTATAAACCACCGTGTCCATCGACCGGTACAGTCTATAAACCATCATGTCCATCGACCGGTACAGTCTATAAACCACCGTGCCCATCGACCGGTACAGTCTATAAACCATCGTGCCCATCGACCGGTACAGTCTATAAACCACCGTGTCCATCGACCGGTACAGTCTATAAACCACCGTGTCCATCGACCGGTACAGTCTATAAACCATCATGTCCATCGACCGGTACAGTCTATAAACCATCATGTCCATCGACCGGTACAGTCTATAAACCACCGTGTCCATCGACCGGTACAGTCTATAAACCATCATGTCCATCGACCGGTACAGTCTATAAACCACCGTGTCCATCGACCGGTACAGTCTATGAACCACCGTGTCCATCGACCGGTACAGTCTATAAACCACCATGTCCATCGACCGGTACAGTCTATAAACCACCGTGCCCATCGACCGGTACAGTCTATAAACCACCGTGCCCATCGACCGGCACAGTCTATAAACCACCGTGCCCATCGACCGGTACAGTCTATGGTGGACCGTTGAAGTCAGTCTGTCAATGCTCGTCAGTCGACTTTTATTCTGACAGAGTCACGTGTTATCGACCGTGATATCTTACTGTAAGCATGGCCATAGTTGGGTGTTCCTTGTATGGTAGGCTGTGTGGTTTTTGTTTGCTGGTCACGGATTGTGATTGTATGTCATGGATTGTGCTTGTTTGTATGTCATGGATTGTGCTTGTTTGTATGTCATGGATTGTGGTCTTGTTTAAATATCGCGGATTGTGATTGTATGTCATGGTTTGCGGTCTTGTTTTAATGTCATGGATTGTGAATGTTTGTATGTCATGTATTCTGATTGTATGTAATGGATTGTCATTGTATGTCTCGGTTAGTAATTCTGTGTAAATGTCACGATTTGTAAGTCATGTTCTAACCTAAACCCTACACCCACACGTGTTGTTTAACCGTCCCACAGACCCTTGTTGAAATCCTGCCAACCAATCCGCCTACAAGCCGGCCCATCGTGTCTAATGTTAAAGTGCTGTTGTTTAATGCTTCTCTCTAGTCTAGCCTACCTAAATCACCAGTCCCGTTTGACGATCTTGTCCAGTCCTGGGTATCAAATGACAAGTACCAATTCTCCTTGACTGCCACCTAGCTATGCCACCTCTACTCTTGTTTCTATACCATCTCCACTCTTGTTTCTTGAAGATTCACTCAGTACCCCACCCCTCCTACTTTACATTTGTACCGTCAGCTTGCTGTTCCTGGTTTATGTGTGTCGAAGAGCTCCATTCTCTCCTCTCCCGTACAATGCAGATGGGAGTTGACCAGGACAAACCCCCCGTCCATTGTCCCAGACCAGTGGCACGTTTGTTGGTGCTGGGGTCGGACATTGTCCGGTTCTCACACTTGAATCTTTTATGCCGGCTGTCCTGGGTGCCCGGCCGTACGTTTTCTTACATGGACAATAGGTGGGCTCAGGTGCTAATGTAATGTCACTCTATCATCTCTCGGCCTAAATGATGTGGCGTACAGTGACGGGCGGGCCGGATGTGATCTTTCCCCGGACCTGGGAGTCCCGGGTGATGGACCACGGGATGTCACCGTTATATTAAGGTTGTTTCGTTTATAGAGAGGTGGTCTCTTCTAGGAAGCTGGGTTCAAATCTTGAGTAGGAGGTGGTTCCATATCTTGTGTGGGAGGTGGTATCAATTCTTGAGTGAGAGGTGTTCTCATTTAATCTGTGAAGCTGTGTCTCATATATTGAGAGGTGGTTTCAGATCTTGAATGAGAGGTGGTCTCATATCTTGAATGAGAGGTGTTCTCATATCTTGAATGAGAGGTGGTCTCATATCTTGAATGAGAGGTGGTCTCATATCTTGAATGAGAGGTGGTCTCATATCTTGAATGAGAGGTGGTCTCATATCTTGAATGAGAGGTGTTCTCATATCTTGAATGAGAGGTGGTCTCATATCTTGAATGAGAGGTGTTCTCATATCTTGAATGAGAGGTGGTCTCATATCTTGAATGAGAGGTGGTCTCATATCTTGAATGAGAGGTGTTCTCATATCTTGAATGAGAGGTGTTCTCATATCTTGAATGAGAGGTGGTCTCATATCTTGAATGAGAGGTGTTCTCATATCTTGAATGAGAGGTGGTCTCATATCTTGAATGAGAGGTGGTCTCATATCTTGAATGAGAGGTGGTCTCATATCTTGAGTGAGAGGTGGTCTCATATCTTGAATGAGAGGTGGTCTAATATCTTGTGTGGGAGGTGGTATCAAATCTTGAATGACAAGTGGTCTCATATCTTGAATGAGAGGTGGTCTCATATCTTTCGTGGGAGGTGGTCGCATATCTTGGGTGGGAGGTTGTATATATAATCTATGAAGCTGTGTCATATTTTGAGAGTTGGTCTCGTATCTTGAGTGCTTGTCTCATATCTGGAGTGAGTGCTTGTCTCATATCTTGAGTGAGTGCTTGTTTCATCTTGAGTGAGTGCTTGTCTCATATCTTGAGTGAGTGGATGTCTCATATCTGGAGTGAGTGCTTGTCTCATATCTTGAGTGAGTGCTTGTCTCATATCTGGAGTGAGTGCTTGTCTAATATCTAAAGTGAGTGGTTGTCTCATATCTTGAGTGAGTGCTTGTTTCATCTTGAGTGAGTGCTTGTCTCATATCTGGAGTGAGTGCTTGTCTCATATCTTGAGTGAGTGCTTGTTTCATCTTGAGTGAGTGCTTGTCTCATATCTGGAGTGAGTGCTTGTCTCATATCTGGAGTGAGTGCTTGTCTCATATTTGGAATGAGTGCTTGTCTCATATCTGGAGTGAGTGGATGTCTCATATCTTGAGTGAGTGGATGTCTCATATCTGGAGTGAGTGCTTGTCTCATATCTGGAGTGAGTGCTTGTTTCATATCTGGAGTGAGTGCTTGTCTCATATCTGGAGTGAGTGCTTGTCTCATATCTGGAGTGCTTGTCTCATATCTTGAGTGAGTGCTTGTCTCATATCTTGAGTGAGTGGATGTCTCATATCTGGAGTGAGTGCTTGTCTCATATCTGGAGTGCTTGTCTCATATCTTGAGTGAGTGGTTGTCTCATATTTGGAATGAGTGCTTGTCTCATATCTTGAGTGAGTGCTTGTCTCATATCTGGAGTGAGTGCTTGTCTAATATCTAAAGTGAGTGGTTGTCTCATATCTTGAGTGAGTGCTTGTTTCATCTTGAGTGAGTGCTTGTCTCATATCTTGAGTGAGTGCTCGTCTCATATCTAGAGTGAGTGTCTGTCTCGTGTTAATATAGAAAGAAGCCATCTCCTGCATGTTGCTGTATGTATAGAGGTGGTCTCTGTGAAAAAAAAGGGGGCGGTATGAACTCGCAGAGTCACGAATGACGAACCCACCGGAAGTGACCCCTGTCATGAAGCATCCTACCGGAAGTCTCTCCCTCCTTACAGCGCTCCCTGCACAGATAATCTATCGCTGGTGCTGGAATGGGGGGACATTTTGTTCAGCTTCGCTTCCCTACATCGACATAAAGTCGTATTGATCTCGGATAGTCTGACGCTGGGTGATGTCCCTTGCCTCGACCAATGAATAATGCTGCCATAACACACTTGTTTTCTTGATGGTTTTTTTTTGGGTTACTTCCCATGCTTTTATACTTGTTACTTCCCTTTCTGGTATACTTACAGTTTTGTTACTTCCCTTTCCAGTTTGCTTACAGTTTTGTTACTTCCCTTACTGATTCACTTATGGTTTTGTTACTTTTCTTGCTGGTATAGTTCGTCTAGTTACTTCCCTTTCTGATATAATTACAGTTTTGTTACTTCCCTTGCTGGTATAATTACTGTATCTGTTACTTCCCTTTCTGTATATTTACATTTTGTTACTTCCTTTGCTGGTGTACTTTACGGCATAGTTTCAGATAAAAATCCGACTACAGAGCCAGCTAGTCAAACACATTTTATTTACATATCGACTTAAGAGATCTGCCGCTTGATTGGTAGTTTGATTGACAGATAGGAGGGCTGTACATAGAGATATTTACGTTTTACTTGATAAGAGTAGTATATTAGGTCCCTTTTGGAGCGAAGGCGCAGGCGCAGGCGCACCCAGGATGCGCAAAGGATATATAGTAAAATACTCGGATGCGCAGGGGGATGCGCAGGCGCCGGATGGACAATGAGATATAGTAAAATACTCGGATGGGGATGGACAACGAGATATAGTAAAATACTCCAGCCGCAGGCGCAGGCGCAGGGTGGATGGACAACGAGATATAGTAAAATACTCCGGATGGGGATGCGGATGGGGATGGGGATGGGGATGCGGATGGGGATGGGGAGGATGCGCAGGGATGCGGATGGGGAGTAGGTCAGTAGGTCAGTAGGTCACCACCGGTGACCTTGTGACGTAATCAGTGACCTTGTGACGTAATCATTGACCTAGTTACGTAATCAGTGACCTAGTTACGTAATTTTAATTAGTTTGAATTTAATTTTTAATTTTTAATTAATTTTTATTAACTAGTTACGTAATTTTAATGCGTTTTAATGAGTTTTTAAATTTTTAATTAATTTTTATTATCGAGTTACGTAATTTAATTACTTTGATTGTATTTTTATTTTGTTTAATTTGTTTGTTTACTTGTTGTTTAATTTAATTACTTTGTTTATATTGTGTAATTTTTATTAACGAGTTACGTAATTTGATTATTTGTTTACTTTTTAATTATTTTTATTTTGTTTATTTTTAATTTTATTTTATTTTATAATTAGTTAAATTATTATTAACTAGTTACGTAATTTGATTTTAATTACTTTTGTTTATTTATTTATTTGATATATTTCTTTTTCTTTGTTGTTTAATGTTGTTTATTTATTTGAATGTATGTATGTTTTAAATAAAAGACTAACACTAGCATGTACTAGAACAGTCTTTGTATACCAGCCTTTAACCAGGCGGGCAACATGTGTTACTTATCGATCTACTAGTGAGGTTTTCTCGCCGCTGCCCGTTTTAATGGGAATGTATTGATCGCACCCACGGGGCCATCACACCTAATTAAATCTTGTTATGCTTCACCGATTTTATGTGTTGTTCGCCGAAACGAACACAGCAGGGGGTATGATAATTAATTGAAAGAGCTAAGTGCCTCTCCGCAAAGCCAGCGTTAAGTGTGGGAACATATGTGTCACCACCGGTGACCTTGTGACGTAATCAGTGACCTTGTGACGTAATCATTGACCTAGTTACGTAATCAGTGACCTAGTTACGTAATTTTAATTAGTTTGAATTTAATTTTTAATTTTTAATTAATTTTTATTAACTAGTTACGTAATTTTAATGCGTTTTTAATGAGTTTTTAAATTTTTAATTAATTTTTATTATCGAGTTACGTAATTTAATTACTTTGATTGTATTTTTATTTTGTTTAATTTGTTTGTTTACTTGTTGTTTAATTTAATTACTTTGTTTATATTGTGTAATTTTTATTAACGAGTTACGTAATTTGATTATTTGTTTACTTTTTAATTATTTTTATTTTGTTTATTTTTAATTTTATTTTATTTTATAATTAGTTAAATTATTATTAACTAGTTACGTAATTTGATTTTAATTACTTTTGTTTATTTATTTATTTGATATATTTCTTTTTCTTTGTTGTTTAATGTTGTTTATTTATTTGAATGTATGTATGTTTTAAATAAAAGACTAACACTAGCATGTACTAGAACAGTCTTTGTATACCAGCCTTTAACCAGGCGGGCAACATGTGTTACTTATCGATCTACTAGTGAGGTTTTCTCGCCGCTGCCCGTTTTAATGGGAATGTATTGATCGCACCCACGGGGCCATCACACCTAATTAAATCTTGTTATGCTTCACCGATTTTATGTGTTGTTCGCCGAAACGAACACAGCAGGGGGTATGATAATTAATTGAAAGAGCTAAGTGCCTCTCCGCAAAGCCAGCGTTAAGTGTGGGAACATCTGTTACCACGTTAATCGGTTTTTCCCCCCCCGGTTGGATCCCGTGCTTTTCACTAACAGTTATACGGACAGTATCATAGGTTTTTGGTTTTCACCGAGGCAATGTTTTGTTGTTGGTTGGTGTAGAGTTTATACGAGGGTCGGTGAAGTTTTCACCGAGGTTGGTTTTGAACTCGAACCATACATGTTTAAGAATTACTAGGTGTTAATTACTTTGATCGCATTTTTATTTTGTTTAATTTGTTTGTTTACTTGTTGTTTAATTTAATTACTTTGTTTATATTGTGTAATTTTTATTAACGAGTTACGTAATTTGATTATTTGTTTACTTTTTAATTATTTTTTATTGAGTAGTTACGTAATTGGATTTTAATTTTTTGAATTTTTAAATTTTTAATTTTATTTTATAATTAGTTAAATTATTAACTAGTTACGTAATTTGATTTTAATTACTTTGTTTATTTGTTTATTTAATATATTTCTTTTCTTTGTTGTTTAATTTGTTGGTTTGTTTATTTGTTTGTATGTATGTTTTAAATAAAAGACTAACACTATCATGTACTAGAACAGTCTTTGTATACCAACCTTTAACCAGCCGTCCTACAGCTGTTACTTAGCGATCCGCCCGTGAACCTCCCTGCCCGGGGATTTATGGGTTTTATATTGATCGCAGCTACAGGCCCATCACACCTAATTAAAGTTGGTCATGCATCGTGGATTTATGCCGGGTTCGCTGGCAACAGCTGGTGCTGTAATTAGGCTGCACAAACGGGCTTTTTTACTACCTTGTTGTAACTATTCGATTATAGCGAGGGTCAGCAAAAACAAAATATATTTAAGGGTTGGAATTTTCTTTCAACCACCGTTAAGTCAGGTTTGAGACGAAACGAAGTCTCGATAGGTTCGTGTTTTTTAATGGGCGACAGGGCGACTTGGTGCGTTGGTACGTAGGTATGCGGGGTTAAGGTTCTATAACTCTATATATTTAAATACACATACGCGCGCGCGCGCGAAATTCATACTGGGTCAATAAAGGCGGAGAGAACTTATAGGTATACATTATCATGGTGACAACAAAAGCGATCCTTATTTTATTTATATGAAAGCGTGTTTTCCAAAAAGTGATGCGAAGCACTTAGGTCATTATCCAACAGCTGTTGTGCGACAGCTGGTGGTGTAATTAGGTTGAGCAACCGGACATTACCTTGATGGTTTTCTAGTACGCGTATGCTACACGTATATACACACACACACACACACACACACACACACACACTAAAATTAGAACAAAAGTCTTCTTATATTTTATTTGTTTATTAACGTTTTTCCAATTCATCAAAGGCTTTTAAAATTTCAGCCTGTAAA